ATTCATTTTGCCAGCTGCTGTGCGTCTCAGCCAATATCAAATGTTCTGGACAACTGGAGTCTGTCAACCTGCTATTTGTTGCTGTCTTCCCGACCCAGCCAACCTCTCCAGATGCTTTCAACAGGGAATACATATGTTTCCAATGTCGCAACGTAACTGCAACATCCTATGTTGGAACGTGAGAGGCCTCAATGATGTGGTGAGGCAAGATGCAGTAAGCTTACTAGTAAGAGACACGGCTGCCACCATCGTCTGCCTCCAAGAGACGAAACTGCAGAACGTGGACCAGGCTGTTGTGCGACGCTTGGTGGGTGCAAAATTCACAAACAATTTTGTCGTCCTGCCGGCAAATGAGGATTTCTGCGACCTCTCCAGCCAGCACTTGTCCACAAACGCTGTAACGGCAACTTGCACGATGAGAGCAGATGGGACCTCGTGGCAGATAACAGTGGTCTATGGACCGCAAGGGGACACCGAAAAGGTCCAGTTCCTACAAGAGCTCAAAGCTATCCCTGGGCCAGCACACGGGAGGTGGCTAATCCTAGGTGACTTCAATCTCATCTACCAGGCGGAAGACAATAACAATTCAAATTTAAAACGTCGTCTCATGGGGGCCTTCAAAGCGGTGATTGATGAGCTGAATCTAAAAGAGCTAAGGCTCAATGGGCGGCGTTTCACCTGGAGCAATGAACAGGATAGGCTGACGCTTACAAGGATTGATAGGCTGCTTTGCACCCCGGATTGGGAACTGGCCTTCCCAACATGCTTCCTCCACTCACTCCCCTCTCTCATGTTGGACCACACGCCGCTCCTGCTACAGGGAGAGATCAAACACTACAAAAACCCCTCCTTCCGCTTTGAAAATTTCTGGGTGAAGATGGAAGGCTTCAATGAGATGGTGGAGCAAATTTGGAACAGACCCGTCCACTCGGTCTTGCCGCTCAAGCGCCTCAACACGAAGCTGGCGAGAGTCGCTAAGGATTAAGAGATGGCGCAAAGAGAAAATTGGGGACACAAGGCTGCAGCTGGCCACCGTCAAGGAAGTGCTGCTGCAGCTTGAAGCGGCTCAGGAGAGCAGGGCGCTCACGCCCCAGGAGCTTCAGCTGCGCCGACAGTTGAAGGCCAAAAGCACCGGCCTAGCCACCATCGAAAAATCAAGGATCAGGCAGCGATCCAGGCTAGCGTATATCCGAAGTAGAGACGCCAACACAAAATTTTTCCATATCAGGGCCAGAACAAGATTAAGGAAAAACTACGTTCACTGTCTACACACCAATGGGGGAGTTGCAGTAACACATAATGACAAAGAGAAGGTGGTGGCAGATTATTTCTCAAATCACCTTGGTTCGGTTGCGCCGAGGACAAGGACCTTCGATTGGGATGCACTAGGGTATGTCCCAAGAGACCTATCCATGCTTGAAGTGCCTTTCACGCAGAAAGAGATCAAAAACACGATCAACTCCATGCCGTCTGATAAAGCGCCAGGGCCGGATGGATTCACGGGCGCCTTTTTCAAAGCATGCTAGAAATAATCAAGGAGGACGTCACAGCAGCTTTGAATAGTATGTTCATGCTAAATTCCCAAGGATTCGAGTTGCTAAATTCGGCAAATATTATTCTACTCCCAAAGAAATTGGACGCAAGGCAAGTGTCAGACTTTAGGCCAATCAGTCTCATTCATAGTGTCGCAAAGCTGTTCGCGAAGCTTCTTGCAAATAGGCTGGCCCGCCTCCTGGACTCCTTGGTCTCAAAATGCCAAAGCACTTTTATCATGAAAAGGAGCATCCATGACAACTTCCTTTACGTCGAGAACATGGTGCGAAGCATGCACAAGCAAAAGATGACTGCAATTTTTTTGAAGCTAGATATACACAAGGCCTTTGACACGGTTAGCTGGCCCTACATGTTGGAAGTTCTACAGGCGTTGGGTTTCGGCCCACGATGGCGTGAATGGGTTTCAATCCTTTTCAGCACCGCCTCATCAAAAGTGCTGCTTAATGGACAGCAAGGACCGGCTTTCAGTCATAGGAGGGGGTTCGACAGGGCGACCCTCTTTCGCCCATGCTCTTCATTCTTGCCATGGATCTGCTGCAGCGACTGATGGACATGGCAACACAGCAAGGGGTCCTCTCCAAACTACCTCTAGCGGCAGCAAGATGGAGAACCTCTATGTATGCCGATGATGCAGCAATTTTCATTAACCCAACCAAGGAGGATCTAGAAGCCAGCACGACCATCCTACATGAATTCGGCACAGCGTCGGGCCAGCACATAAACCTACAGAAAAGCACAGTCCACCCAATCAGATGCCAAGATGTCGACCTTGATCATGTGTTGGCCTCATTCACAGGGACATGAGAATCTTTCCCGTGCAGGTACTTGGGGCTGCAGCTACATACAAGATCTCTATAGAAGGTCCACGTGCATCCACTCATTGAGCGCATTGGCCAGAAATTGCCGGGTTGGAAAGGAAAGATGATGAACAGAGCAGGCAGGCTAACCTTAGTCACCATGGTGCTCTCTTCAATGCCTACTTACCATCTCACGGTGTTCCCACTAGCGGCATGGGCCAGGAAGAAGATTGACAAAATCAAAAGATCATTCCTTTGGAAAGGAGAGGAGAACGCCAATGGGGGACACTATCTTGTGAACTGGCCGATGGTCTGCAGTCCCAAGGAGTTGGGGGGTATGGGTGTGTCGGACCTGGACAGGTTTGGTAGAGCCCTATGCCTCCGGTGGCTCTGGCAGGAGTGGGGAGATGATCCAAAGCCTTGGGTGGGCACGGACATGCCGTGCAACGACATGGATCGTCTGCTTTTCAACGCCTCCACTAGGGTCACCATTGGCGATGGCAACGGGGCGCGCTTCTGGCACCACAGCTGGTTAGAGGGAGAGGCGCCTAGATATTTGGCACCGAACCTATTCAAACTAGTGCGCATGAAGAACAGGACGGTTCACCAAGAATTGAACAACGGTAATTGGATCAGATCACTACGTACGCGCATCACTTCGACATTACAGGTCCAGGAGTTTGTTGGCCTATGGATCAAATTGCAGGGGGTGCAGTTACAGCCCAATGTGCAGGACACGATTACATGGAAATGGATGGCTGATGGAAACTACTCCACCTGCTCAGCGATGAACTTATCTGGAGAGCGCGGGTAGAGAATAAGTGCAAAATTCATGCCTGGATCCTCCTACACAACAAAATCCTAATGGCGGATAATCCGCAAAAGAGAGATTGGCCCCATCAAGACCATTGTGTCTTGTGTAACGGCCCTTTGGAGACAGGGATACATTTATCCTTGTTGTTCCCCTTTGTAAAAGCCGTGTGGGATTAGGTGCTGACTTGGGAAAATTTATTTGTGCAACTCCCACAGCAAGTCCCTGCCTCCTTGGCCGAATGGTGGGAAATTGAGGCCAGCAGGGTGCCAAAACAAGATCGTAGGCGTTTCAATGGAATTGTTATCTATATCATGTGGAATCTGTGGAAGGAGAGAAATAGGAGGATCTTCTAAAATGTGTTCCAAACGGTGCAGCAGGTCGCATACTCGACCAAAGAGGATATAGTGCAAAGACATAGGGCTTTGAATTTTGGTGTGAAGGCCAACTAGCCACTACTAGAAACTCAAATTTTTCTATGTGTGCAAAAACCTATGGAAAAATTCGAATACCCACGGAAAAATATTTTTCTGACGGTGTATCGTCAGAAAATAACACACAGAAATAGAATGACAGAAAAATCATTTCTGTGGGTTCACCGTTAGAAACAATTTTTTTGTGGGTCTCACACGCACAGAAAAATTATGTTCGCCCAGATTAAAACTAATTTTTCTATGTGTTAATCCACACAAAAAAAAGAAATAAACGCACAGAAAAACACATGTTTTTTTCTGTCGGTCTAGGTGAACTCACAGAAAAATTCATTTCGCCCAGATTAAAAATAATATTTCTGTATTGCCAGCCTCACAGGAAAAAAGAGTTAAACACACACAAAAAATTATTTTAAAACAGTAGCAACAACATATTAAAATATATATTTTCTATATAGTAATTTCTGTGCATAACCAACAAGGTTTCATTCAAATAATACACAAATCAGTAGTTCATTATGAATGGAGTCAACACTTATGTCAAAAATAGAATCAGTCTGATCTATCAGCACATATATCATATATACAGATATGATATCTGGTCATCTACATGTTCAACATGAATACTACAACGAAGGACTGAGGAGAGGAGGAACCAGGCACCAAAGCAGAAGGGCTCCCACCACCTCCAGCTAGTGGCGGCACCACAGCACGGCGGACTGGGCACTGGGCGGCGTTGGCAGCGTGAGGGCGCAGGCTGCAGGGGCATCGTGGTGTCGGGGGGCTGAGGGGTGCCTCCGCTGGGATCGATTCCGTGGAAGGAGGCATCATGGTCGCGTCCTCGCGTGAGGCTCTCAAGGTCAGGGGAGGCAGCGGGGAAGGAGAAAGAAACTGCTTCACCTTCCACTCCATCTCTACCTGTTAAGCAAAGACATTTTTAGTCAACAAAAAAAACACTAGTATTATAATAAGTTTGCCTTTTTATTGAGCATAGTGGGGACTGCTCAGTACCTTTCATCTCAGGTCACAAGCCAATTTCATTTGCACCGAATGCCATCTATTGGAAAACAGCAAGGAAAATAGAACGCACCGCAGAAAATAGAACAGGAAATTGCATCATATAGCCACCAAAGTTCAGAGTAGTAAATATTTAACTCAACAAATCTGTTTATTAGGAATAGTGTCAATTTGGTGCAATTATCAAACAATTTCTATGGCACCATAGATCGTGATATAGTAATTGGGACAACTGAAATAATATATGTGCATAAACGACCACAATGCAATACTGTTGCACATTTATATGAGGGCAGCCCAATATAATGCAAAATGGATGGCACCAACCACCATCAGTTATCAGAAAAACGGTAGAAATCTCACTAGCATTAACTCATAAACATTTAAAGATCAACATATCTGTATAACGGTTATGATTAACTTAGAAAAGTTGAGAACTGACTTTTTGTTGTCGATGTCAGGAATATCACTCCTCTCAGCCTTCTCAACAATCACCTGCATTATAAAATATTGTCATAAATTGGATCAAAGCGATCAAGAAGAAAGAAGCAGTGCAGACAGGAGGGTAGAAGCTTACTGGAATTTTGTCAGGGTACTTCTCTCTGATCCGGTTAGCCTCAGACTGCCTCTTCTCTGCAACACGAGGCATGTCAGATTAAGGGTTCAGTGATGTAAACATAATAAAAAGCTAAATTGTCTCACAGGGAAATGATGGAACAAGGCCATAGCCACTGAGAACATGTTGGAAATCATAGCTAGCTGGGACATAGAATTATCTTTGTCCAAAGAGAACTCAAACTAACAGAGTCATCAAATGTTATCAAGTACATATTTTATCTTATCAGCTTCTTAAGGAACCCTGCGCCGTCCTCCTTGCGCTGGATCGGAGTTGGGAGAGAGAGGAGAAAAGCTCACCGGAACCCTAGATCCAGGAGGAGGAGGGCCTACCTCGTCGGGGTCACCGCACCACTGGATCCGCGCCGCCACCACGCCGGGGTTGCCGCACCAGGGCCCGTTTGTGCCAGCGCTACCGCACCTGGGGTCGCTGTGCCGGGCCACCACGCCAAGGGCCTCCCGCCGCTGTCCATGGCGTGTTTGCGCCGCCACGCTGCCGGGAAAGGAGGGGGCGCCGGATCTGGGGAGAGGGCGTCGGATCCAGCGAGGGGGCGGCGGATCCGGCGAGGGGGGCGCCGGGGAAGGTGGGGCCGCCGGGGAAAGGAGGGGGCGTCGGATCCAGGGAGAGGGCGTCAGATCCGGCAAGGGGGCGGCGGATCTGGCGATGGGGGGGCGCCGGGGAAAGGAGGGGCCGCCGGGGAAAGGAGGGTCAGCGGATTCGGCGAGGGGGCCGCCGGGGAAAGGAGGAGCGGCCAGGAGAGGAGGAGAGGGAGGCGGCGCCGGCGGGGGGAGGGGCACTGGCGGCCGGGAGGAGAGAGGGCGCTCCGATGGGGGGGGGCGCTAGGGGCGGGAGGAGGGGAAGAGGCGGCGCCGGTGGGGGCAGGGGCACTGGGGGCGGGAGGAGAGGGGAAGAGGCAGGCGGGGGAGGGGGCTGGGGGGAGGAGGAGGGGGGCGGCGAGGGCCGGGAGGAGAGGGAAGAGGGGCGCCGGGTGTTTGAGGGCGGCGGCTGGCGGGTTAGGGTTAGCACTTCTTTGTTTTTTTATTTATTTTATTAATAACATTTTTCTATGTGTGCATATATTTTTTCTGTGCTCTTTTAAAAAATCGACAGAATAAATTGCATTTTTTTGTCTATTGTCACGCACAGAAAAATCATACAATTATTCTGTGGGTTTTCGTATTTTTCTGTCGGTATATTTTGGAACCGACAGAATAATCGTAATTTTTCTGTGCGTACCGAAAAAAACGCACAGAAAAATTCGTCACCCACAAAAAAATTCAAGTTTCCAGTAGTGAGCAGTGAGGCATCTTTTTCTTCTTTTGGTCTTAGGACCATGGTGTTAGGCACCTAGGGTGCCAAGTGTACATAAAACTCTTTTTCTAACTTAATTGAGCGACAGAGCTCCTACCATTTCCTTCAAAAAATAATACCACTGATCCCTTCGCCGTCAGAACCGCTGAAGAAGCTCTTGCTTACATGCTTGATTGGTTCAACAAATATTTGAAGTGAAGACTACAGACATGCCTTGTACAAAGGTTGTTCAGAATGAGTTAAAGAGAATAATAACTCTTGACAATCACATTGTAAACTTGAAGACACGCCATAGGATTAATGCTGGATATACACATATTCTTGTCCGATGGCAAGTCATTTTAGTCACTATTAACACCAGCATTCACAATCCCAACAATTGTTATTAATACGACAAGCAATCGCACACACCTAAGTACCCAACGTGCACACCCTTAGACCAGTATGTTTGATTGTGGATAAACTTTTCGGCATCTTCTGAGCTAAAATTAAATTACAATAAGAGAGGGTTTTACCAACATTTCGGCTGAAGTCAACAAAAAGTGGTAGATTGAAATTATAGATTTTCTAATGTTTTACCAACTGAAATAGCAAGGGTATGGCAGTATGCTGAAGAGTTTTGGGAGAGGGATACGTTTAATAATATAGGGAACATGGTACACGACACTGACATAAAAATAAAAGTTAACGATAAACATAATTTCTTGCATGTGCATGATTTCGGATTTATACATTTCTAACAAGTGACAGAAAATCACTAAAAGAGGATAGAAATGAGGGGTTTTGGAGGGAGCTGGACTTCAAGTCATGATGAGCCCAAGTTCCAAGGACCCAAAACCACTTAAGAAACACTCAGGAGATGACATCCATTTGGAGAGAGGAACTTAACAATGAGAGATGGATTTCAAGAAAGTCACGAGGACCCAAAACCACTCCAAAAACACTCAGGACATCAGACCTACACAGGTTCAAAATCACCCAAGCAACGCAAATTCACAAAAAGAGCAAAATAAGGGATTCAAGAGGAGACAAGAGAGGTGAAATCCACATGAACTTCCTATTGATTAAGCAACTATGAATTCACCTATACATCAAATTAGACTACGCCAGGACACCATCCCACTCATGTGAAGAAAAAAAGACACATTCTAAGAATGCCTCTATATTCAATTTGATGAAAAATGCTCGGTAAGAATCTACGTCATTCACAATTGTGAGTGGCAAGATACTAATATTAGAGTAAAAATATTGGTGATGTGCAACCTTCATTTAGAAGCCTCTTGAACAACTCTTTAAAAAATGTCATCTAAATGAAAAAATAATTAAATTAACAATTGTAGCACCCGGTTTTAAGAACAAAACCAGATACACATCATATGTGAGCCCAGAAAGTCAATTCTCGCATATAGCTACAAATAAGGATAATATCAATAGACAATGCTCAATATATAACATACTTAGTATAAAGAATATAACCTTAGATAGCAAACAGCGGAAAACCAACTCCGATCTTCGGGTGAAGACTCCAATTCCATAGGGACAACTGACTAGTTGATCACAAGCCTAATTCCTCCAAACTCTAGCAATCTGGTACCCATCCAGGATTTTTCCAAAGATTTAAAAGTAAAGCAAGCGTAAGTACATGTCGTACTCAACAAATATAACATGGGGTTCATGAGGCTCAAAAGGCTGACACTGGTTTAACTGCGATTAGCTTTTAATTGTCACAATTTTAGCATAGGAGTAGCAACAAGTTTATCACAAGCCCATATAGACACATGATCAGGTAAACATGAATAATGAATAGCATAAACAATAATCATTAATGAGCATCTTCATCATCCGTATCATTAGTGTTCATCATCTATTCCGTAAGGGTCCAAGGCCGCTCGTGACCGTGAGCACGGCTGATATACAGTTTTACACTCTGTAGAGGTTGTACACTTTCACTGTGAGTCGTGATTTACCCTTTTGCCTGAGGTAGCTAATCTCTTGACCCACTTTCAAGGAAGGTCGACAGGGTTCACTATGAAGCCTTTCAAAGGTTCGTCTAACAAGTTAGGGCTATTAGATTCACTCGGCAAACACATATAGGAAACCCCCTTCCCGATGGCACAATGACACGCAGCCTATACATAAGGGGATAGAGGTTGTCCTATACCCGATTCGACAAGCCATTCTTACGCCAATAAAGGTAACCTCTAACAAGCTAGAAAAGGTCCTCATACTGAGCTAAAGCCAGAGCCATGTAGCCCTCATAGCTGTACTGTAAGTCTCGAATGATCACTTATAGATAAGTCCTTAGGGAGAGGAATCTAGGACACCATAAAATAGCCCAATGCTCTAGCCCCTTGTTCCATGTTGCTAAAAAGCATCTTTTAATGTTTATTGCATATACCATTAGTCAAGTTACAAGATCATGGCTTTAGTTTTGCACTAGCATCATACTACCCAAGGCAATAACCCATAGGAATCAAGGAATCCGGGATATTAAATAGCTAGGAAACTTACTACGGTTGCCAAGGTAGACACATGCATATGATTAAATTATTAAAGTGAATAGGACAACAAGGAAGATCCCATGCTATACTTGCCTTAAACTCAGATCCTTCTTCTATTGAATTGTAACCTCCAAAGGACTTCTTCTGGATCACCAACTCTGCCGAGACTCAAAAGATAAGGCCAGGGTTCAAAGGAGACTCTACCGAGGTCTCTTCCAAAGCAAGGATAAAGGATAAGGGGTTGCTTTGGGATTCTAAAGAGGGTGGGGTTTTGGGGCTTAGGGATACCTCTAGGATTGGGAAAAACAGAGGGCTTCTAAAAGGCTAGGAAGGATATATAAGAGGATCAAAACCGCTCTCCTCGTCTCTCATAGCATAACATGCCTACTACTTAGGGCGAACTAGGTACGAATTTCGGTTCTCAATTGGGTGCTCCTACTATTCCCTCCTGGTCACATAATACTAAAACACCTTTTAAGTTGAAACATAGTTTGGATGTCAAGGACAAGAGGCAAGATTAACTAGTGAGGTAAGGATTACTTTAACTCATAGAGTTGACACTAGAGCACAAAAGTTATCAAGTTTAAAGCTACTTAGGGCACAATATTGAGGTTATATGGAGTTTGACAAATGGATTGCTCGTGTAAGTCAACCACCGCTCTGATACCCATCTGCCCCCTATCGCGCGCACCGCCGATCCGCACGCGATAGCTTCAGGATCTTTGTAACGGTCGAGTGACACGAAACACCCCGTGTGGCAAGCCAACACACATAACATCCAACATCATGCCCAACTATCTAGGTTATTATGCTTATAGGAAAATACATGATTCACAAAGTTTATACAGTTTTAGCTTCTCCCTCTAGGCTCAACTCTTCAAATCTCACTCGAATTCTTATCGGAGTTAACTTGTAACTCATCATGGATTCGCCCAATCCAAGGTCTACTAGGCAGCGGTGAATAGAGCACTATCTTGCATCCACCGGGGCAACTGTCACACCCAATTTTAAGGATAAAATTGAATGCACTAACTCATGTGTGCCCAGGGATCAATCACACACACAAGCTGACAAATTATAAAGGAGTATCATCACAGTGTATCTTACATCACGATAATAACATAACTTAGTCTTATACATCACAGCGGAAAATGAAAGATAACTCTCTCTCGTGGAACACCATCACAGGGAAGGTCAACTGGTTGACCACAAGCCTAATAA